TTCTTCGTCTGCAGATTCTTCGAATCCCTGCCCAGAATCAGCTTTTTCCTCTTCAGTCTGAGCATCCTTTGGATCCTCTTGAAGAGTTTCAAGGGGGGACTTTTGAAGAACCCTTTGTGAATCCTCTGCAGACGTTTGAGGTATGGTTTCGTTAACCTCTTTCAGAGGAATGGAGGTACCTTGGTCATCTGGTTGCTCAGAAGTTCCAGCCAAAACCGCTACGTTGGAAGAACCTTTGTTTTGGACCAAATTGCTGGAATCTCCTTGAGGAGAGGAATTAAGCGGAACAGCAGCCCTGGACGGTGAGGTCGAAATAGTAGAAGTGGGATTCAGGATGTTCTGCAAGGAGCAGCAAAGTGTTAAAGGATGACACTCACCAAGGTAATAAGAAGTTAAACATTTTTAGAAGAAATTCGATTTACCTGTGGCCCCTCAGAAGAGAGGTTACTAGCTATGCGTTCCAACTGTGGGTTGGAGGTCGAAGGTGGATTTTTGGATTGTGGTAAGGGAGCAGCATCCCTGGAGTCAAGTCCAGAGACACTAGTAGGAGCAGTACTTTTGGGTGTGACTTTCTTCAGCTTCTTCTTCGAAGCAATGTTTGAGTTTCCCCCAGCAGTCAGATCTTCCCCAGTGGTGCTTGGTTTCCGCTTCTTGGGAGTAGTGGGGGGAAGCTTGTTGGTCTGCACGAAGTTTAACGAAGTTAGATATAAAAGGATTGAGTGAATTCGAAGCATAAAAAAAAAACTAAGTGATTACCGTTGGAATTGGGGCACTTATTGTTGTTGGCGTTGTTGTTGTTGGTGTAGTTGCAGCAGCAGTAGTCGTTTCGGGTGGATTAGTCTTTTCGGTAGTTTCGATGGAGGCTTGAGAGGCACTTCCTTCCTTCGATTTCGAGGCAGTGGTCTTTATCCTGATAGCTGAAAATCAAAACATTTAAAAGCAAAGGTTAAAGATTTGGAAAATAAAGATATTTGGGAGTTTTTCCCAAGCATTCGCACCTGTGCCTTGATCAGATTTAATTGACATGGCAGAAAGGTCATATCGAAGATGTCCTGGGAAATCATGAAGCCAGTGTCGAGCCCATGTCACAGTCTCAGATGGCTTTGGTTTCCTTTGAAGATATTTGAACATCTCTTTGCAAGTAAACCACCATGGATATGGGGGAAACCAAGCCAGAGCCAGTTCTGAGGTAGGTAATCTGGGAAATTTAGGTGGATGCATTTCGAATGCCAACCTATACCTATCCTCAGGTGACAGCCCTGAAGGAAGTTTTAGCTTGGAAACTTTTTGTTTAAATTTTTCCTTCAAGGTCTCAGCCGCTTGATGCACAGTGGAGTCCAAGCGTGTGGGGTCGTAAGTAGTTTCGAAGTAATTTTGAAAAGCTTTTATTTCTTTGGCATGAGTAAACATACCTTTCTTTGCTGGTACCTGCACATCGAAGGCATCAATTAGTTTCTGTCGAATAGTAAGTGTATCGAACATACAAGTTTGATAAAACTTAATCCACCACTCCAGAAATCCTTTGGCCGCGAGATGAGTAGGTTCGAAGGCTATCAGTTCAAATTGGGCAAAGCCCAGGTATTGTTCTTGTTGGATCTTGGCTTCCCTTGCCTTGAAAGTTCGACCAGATGTGATGGCGCTCTCAGTCTGGAACAAAGGTTCAGGAATCAGTTGGCATAGGCCAAACTGCCTCGAAACGAAGTTCGGTTGGTAGGCAAAGAGAAGAATTTGGTTCTTAGCTGGGGTTATCCTTGAAGAGATAAGTCTAGGAAGCAAGAAAGCCCTCCACACATCTTGGATTTCCTTACTCTTGATGGCTTCTGAGAGAGCCATGGTGAACCAAGAAGGTCCATGAGCCCTCGAAGCAAAGGGCGCCATGCTCTCTTCGAACTTGTGTCTTTTTGAGAGTATCAAGATGTACTTCGAAAATTGAACCTTGAAGTCATCCTTGTCATCACTAGGGGTTAGTCTTCGAAGCCTAGTGCCTTCGACTATCCTATCACTTATTTCTGCATCTTGTTCGTCTATGGTGTTGGCAGTTGGTAGAGAAGGTTCGAACATGGCATTGAGCCATAATTGAAGTAACCAAAATGGGCCAGCTAAAAGAATGTTTTTGGAATTGTGGGATTTGAGGCTCGAAACAGCTGACCTCAGGCTCTCATAGAGGTCAACTAAGAGTAATTCGCTTAGGCACACTTTGCGATTTTCGTGTAAATCCCTAGCTAAAGGAATGAACCTACTAGCTACCTGCAGGGATCTACTGCAGAAAACGTACCTAGACAGCCACAGAGTTAAGAAAGCAATATGTTCTGTGTCAGACACATTATCCCCTTCAGCATGATAATGGCCGATAAATTTGGAGAAGCTGGCTAACTTGACTTCGAAGTCAATTATGCTTGAGTGCTCTTCATTGTCAGGAACATAGGTTTCCCCCACTGGCGACAGCCCAGTAATGGCTGCTATATCGAAGAAGGTTGGGGTAATCATTCCACCTGGAAGATGGAAAGTGTTGTAGGTACTATCCCAGAAGTAGAGGGACGCAAATAGCAGAGGATGACTATAGGTGAATCCAGGTTTCGACAGCTTAATAAGGTTATAAATGCCTAGTTCTTCCCATTGCTGGGATTTTTTGGCTTCTACTTTCGCAAACCAGTTTTGATAAGCAACATCAGCAGTAGGGCAAGATCGGAATGGTTTAAAATTGCTTTTCACATAATCCAAGATAAATGGGTCCTTGGGATGAACAGTTGAGGTTTCTATGGTTTTCGGATTAAGAAATTCTGCTGCCCTAGGGGCATCCATTTTGTTGAATAAAGGTTTGAAGTTGTAACACACGGGAAAAATGGTCCTGGTGTCTTTTAGTATTTCAAAAACTGTAAGAGGGCCATTTAAGGCTAACCTCTTACCAGCAACATGGGTAGGGATGAGTACCTGTGATGCGTACAGCATTTCTTTTTCTTTGGAGATCATTTGAGGAGCAAGAGCAGATTGGCCTTGAATGGTGACGATTTTACTCTCCATAGTTGCTCCTGTAGTTTTTCCCTTCTTCTTGGAAGCTTTCTTGAGTTGGGATGATGTGGAAGAAGACATTTTTGTTGTTTGAGAGCTTAGAGTGTTTATGAGAGAAGAAGAGTAAAATTCCAGAGTTTGAAAGGTTTAGAGTGTAAAGAAGGAAAAAGGAAAGTTAAATTGACGTTTTATAATAAGAAGATGAAACATCCACCGAGTGAAAATATGATACGTGGAGATCATGGATTGGTGTGATGAAGAGGTGGCGAGAAGTTGATATAGGTAATAGGCGTGATTTTAAAAACAATCATTACTTGTAACTGCACCATGCTGTGAAGTGACTCTGGGCGGTTAAGGTACCCAAAGGGTGCTATGATTGATGTGACTAGGGTCAAACGCATTAAATGCTATGATGATTCGAAGATCCTATCAAAATCTTGTATAAATGTTTAAAATAGGTATTTCTCAGAGAGATCGAAATACATATTTTAAAGGGGCAATTTGTTGGCTGAAGATTTTGATAATGTTATTTAGAATATAAAAGAGTTAGAAGTTCTGATCGAAATGGAATTAAAACACCACGCTTCGAAATTGCAGAAGCAGTGTTTCGAATGAGTGTGTCAAAGCTTGAGGCTTCGAACGGTGATCTTGGGAGCGTATCCAAAGGGATCTCGAAACAGCAGCGAAGCTAAGTCTGAGAAGAGCGTTCGAAGCAGAGAAACACCAAAGCATTTGAAATTTAAATGAAAGCGGGACTTTCAAAGTTTGAAAGTTATGTGTTGGAGCATTTGAGGACACGTGGAAAGATGAAAGGAGCATTGTCTTGCATGTTCGAAACGTGGCATGATCTTGTAGCGAGACCGTTAGGGTCGAATTAGTATAAATAGAAGTCTTAGTGTTAGGATTTCAGTGTGTCATATCTGTTATACAAAATACTCAATAACATTCAAACTACCACATGGCAAGGGAAACGAATGCAAGAGAGATGTATGTATGATAGCACCATGTATTTCTAATTTAATAAAAGCCCTTTTTACTATTTCCAGCACTTTCCTTCTTTTTCTTTCTGTCGAATAACATTTACAAGTTTCTTTATCTACTGTCTTTTCATTTCAAAGTCTTTTCTTCAAAGTTTTACATTTTATTGCATTCTTTATATTTCGAAGCACTTCATATTTCAGAGAACTTTTACGCTTTCAATGTCTTTACTTTCAAGTATTATTCTTCAAACATTTACTTTCACTTAAAGTCATTTCTAGATTTCTTGCATTAAACGCTTTCTTCACATTTTAAACTTCCACATTCCAGAAACCTTTTGTGTTAAATGTTTTATGGATCGAAACCAGTTACTTCATTTTCCATACAGTTTCATATGTCTTTTCAATCAGCATTACAATTAGCAATCATTCGTATAACTTAGTTTCACATACATTTTGACCACATTCTTAAACTCTTAGAGAGAGGGATCGAAACAAACCAAACATTTATACAATAGCACCCATGAATAATTGTTCGATTGTGAGAGTAACCTTGATATCCAAGGAGTCCTAGGATCAATCTAGTCGATCCTGTGAGTTACCAAAGAGATTGAGTAGCGTTAATAAAGATTATTCGATAGTTTGGAAGACTAGCGGTTGTTTACCAGAAATCACTGGAAACAGGTAGTTATCTGAAATATGGTTATTTGCGTAATTTTTTTTAAAACACATTTATTTGTGATTTTTTTTTTTAATATTTAGTTTTTCAAAAAAAAAAAAAATCGTATTTAAACTTTAAATAAATTATACAAAAGTATAAAACTTTACATAAAAAAAATCTAAACCGAAGCATGGTAAACAGTGGTTGATGCACTCCGATGTGTAAGCGGTAATTGCACGTTGCAAGCAAGCACGGAGATTGGACATATCCGGTATTTGTATTGGTTTTGTTCAAGATAACGAAATATAGCTAGCTACTTCACCCTCCTCTGTTTTTCTCCATTACCACCCGCCATGGTTACACTCACCCCTCAAACCCTTCTCCGCCCCTACCTCTATTCTCCATCCCCTTTCCATTCCCCCAATTCTAAATCCAAATTCCTTCGCAGTCACCGGAACCCTATTCTCCGTTGTTCCATAGCCGAGGATTCCAAATCCACCGCATCTCCGACCAAATCGGACTCCCGAGCCCGAGACCTCTCCCCCGTAGACTGCGTAGTCGTTGGCGGTGGCATCAGCGGCCTCTGCATCGCTCAGGCTCTTTCTACCAAACACGCTGATGGTGTCTCCAATGTTGTTGTCACCGAGGCTCGAGGTAGAGTTGGTGGCAATATTATCACTATTGAGCGAGATGGTTATCTGTGGGAAGAAGGTCCTAACAGTTTTCAACCTTCTGATCCTATGCTCACCATGGTGGTTAGTAGTAATTAATGTCCTCTTTCTCTTTACAGCTTCGTTTGTAATGTGTGTGCATGCAATTTGGTGAGTAGATATTCATTTTGGTCCTTGAATCTATGAGTGTTAATGTTATCACCATAGTCCTTGAAGACTAGGAAACACACATCAGAAACACTGGTAATAATTTAAGAAAATGAATAAATTAAATGTAATTACAATGTCTTTTATCCGTTTCAGACAATGACACAAATACAAACATACTTTTTTTAAGAGGTGTTGGTTATTAGAGGGTAATTTAGTATTTGCCATATATATAGGATATTCTCATTGGACCCTATGTGACATTCTTATCTTTGTTCATTTTGTGTATAAATAGGTGTATTAGGTTTACATTTATATCAATCAATTCCTTCAATCATTTGTAGCAGCTTTTAGCATTTATTCTTTTTCTCTCTTCTTCCTCAATTTCATCACCTTGCACTAACAAACTGATATCTAGAGCTCTTGGTTTATTCTGAAATTCTGGGAAACACGAGTGATAGTGAGCTGTGTGTTTGATTTTTGAATCTTGAACAAAAATCTGAAACAGAATCACACTGATTCTGTGGGTTTGGGAAACACTGAGTGAGAAAATCTGAGATCTGAGTTCTTTGTGCAAGGTTTAAGATGAATGGAGGCAGTAGTTTGAACACTAAACTTCCAGTTTTTGATGGCAAAAACTGGAACAGATGGAAGATACAAATGTGTGTGCTGTTTGGTGCTCAGGATGTTCTGGATCTTGTTTCTGAAGGTTATGTTCCAGTTGCAGCAGGTGCTACTGAAGAACAAAAATCAGAAGAAAGAGCTACGAGGAAGAGGGATCAGAAAGCTCTGTTCTTTATCCATCAGTGTGTGGATGAAAATGTGTTTGAGAAGATTGTTGATTCGACGACATCGAAAGGGGCATGGGATATACTGACCAGATGTTATGGTGGTGACGTGTCAGTAAAGAAGGTAAAACTTCAGTCCATGCGAAAACAATATGAAAACCTCAGCATGAAGAACAGTGAGAAAGTTTCTGAGTACATCTCCAGAATGATTCTGATCACTAATGAGATGAAGGCTTGTGGAGAAACACTTTCTGAACAGGTAATCATAGAAAAGATTCTGAGGTCACTTACTCCTCAGTTTGATTACATTGTTGTTTCTATTGAACATTCTAAAAATCTGGAAACCATGAGAATAGAAGAGTTGCAAAGCAGTCTAGAAGCGCAAGAGTTGCGTCTGACTGAAAGAACTTTTGAGAGGGAAGTGGAGCAAGCTCTGAAGGCTTCTTTTGTCAAGAAGGACCAGAAGCAGAATAGACATGGTGATAAATTCCAGAAGTCAGAAACCTCAACTTCTGATGAAAAGAAATATCAGAAGGGAAATGAAAGGTATGACAAGAAGAAAGTTCAATGTTACTGCTGTAAACAGTTTGACCATTTTGCCAGAGACTGTAGAAACAGAGGAAGGAAATCAGAAGAAGCAAATATAGCCAGAGAAGACTCTGATGATGAACCTGTGCTACTGATGGCTTCTGATTCTGATGGAAATTGTTCAGGAGATTGGTGGTATATGGACACTGGTTGTTCAAACCACTTGACTGGGAACAAACAATGGCTGATAGACTTTGACTCGAGAAGGAGAACAAAGATCAGATATGCTGATGATAAGTACCTTAATGCAGAAGGTATGGGAAATGTTAGAGTCAGAGTGAAGAATGGAAGAAACATTCTGATAAAAGATGTTTGGTATGTTCCTGGAATTAAAAGCAATCTGATGAGTGTGGGTCAGCTTATTGAGAAAGGTTTCTCAGTGGTTATGAAGGACAATCTCTTGACGTTGTATGATTCTAATCAGAAGTTGATTATGAAGTCTGAGCAGGGAAGCAACAGAACATTCAAGGTGAATGTAGAAACCTCTGAAGCGGAGTGTCTTAGTGCAGAAGGCGCTGAAGCTGACAGTAAGCTGTGGCACAAGAGGTTGGGGCACTTGAACTATAGAAGCTTAGGGCATCTAAGTTCTAAGAAGCTCGTACATGGCATTTCGAAGATTGTGAAGCCTCTGAAGTCATGTGAGATATGCATGAAAGGCAAGCAACCCAGATTGCCATTTGCATCAGAAGTAGCCCCCAGAGCAAAGCATGCTCTGAGAGTAGTACATTCTGATGTGTGTGGACCATTTCCAGTACCTTCACTTGGAGGAAACAAATATTTTGTGTCTTTTGTGGATGAGTTCACAAGAATGACATGGGTAACACTCATCAAGTTCAAACATGAAGTGATTACTGAGTTCCAGAAGTTCAAGGTGAAGGCTGAGAAGCAGAGTGGTCAGAAGCTGAAGATTCTGAGAACAAATGGTGGAGGTGAGTATAACTCTACAGAGTTCCAGAAGTTCTGTGAGGAGAATGGAATAGAACATGAGGTTACTGCTCCATATACTCCTCAGCACAACGGTCTTGCTGTAAGAAGAAACAGAACTTTGCTTGATATAACCAGAAGTATGCTGAAAGAGAAGAAGTTACCTCACATGTTATGGGGAGAAGCTGTTGCCACATCAGCATATGTTCTGAATAGGTGTCCAACAAAGAAGCTTAAGGAAACTGTTCCTTTAGAAAAATGGACTGGAGACAAGCAAAGTGTTAGCCATCTGAAGGTGTTTGGTTCTGTATGCTGCAAACACGTTCCAGAGGCTAGAAGACGAAAACTGGATGATAGAAGCAAAACAATGTTACTGGTGGGGTACCACAGTACAGGTGCCTATAAGCTTTACTGTCCAGAAACCAACAAAGTTGAGATCAGCAGAGACGTCATTGTGAAAGAGTCAGAAACATGAGATTGGAACAAGCTTCAATCAGATTCTGGTGTAGTGCCAACACCAGGGTTAGTTTCTGAAGATTCTTCAGAAAGCTCTGAAGACGAGTCAGAAGATAAAGACTCTGAAGATGAGTCAGAATCTCAGGGAGATTCTGATAGTGGATCTGATTCTGATCCAGATTCTGATGATGATCCAGAATCTGGTGGTGATTATACTTCTGGAAGGGAAAACTCTGAAGACATGGGGTATGAAGAACAAGTTTCCAGAAGTAACTCTGAAGGTGGTAATTCTGAAGGAAATAATTCTGGACAAAGTCCAGAAGCCAGCACAGTTCCGAGTTCTGGAGAAGCTTCAGAACAAGATCAGAGGCCACAGAGAATCAGACGAATACCAAGTAGGTTTGCAGATTTTAGCATGTTGCATGATACTGAAGTAGATTCTGAAGGAGAAATCGTTCAGTGTGCCATGCTAGTAGATTCTGAACCAGTGGGTATTGAAGAAGCGCTCAAGAAGAAAGTATGGCTGAATGCCATGAAAGAAGAACTTGAGGCTATTGAAAGAAACAAGACTTGGAAGCTGACAGAACTTCCAAAAGGCAAGAAAGCCATCAGCGTCAGATGGGTTTTCAAGCAGAAGCTAAAGCCAGATGGATCAATTGGCAAACACAAAGCGAGACTAGTGGCTAGAGGTTTTCTTCAGAAACCTGGACTAGATTACTTTGAGGTGTTTGCGCCTGTAGCTAGACACGAAACAATCAGACTGGTGATTGCTTTAGCTGCAAACAGAAATTGGCCTTTGATACATCTGGATGTGAAGTCTGCATTTCTGAACGGTCCATTACAAGAAGAAGTTTATGTGTCACAACCTCCTGGATTTGTGAAAAAGAATCAGGAAGGGATGGTATACAGGTTAAATAAAGCTCTGTATGGACTGAAGCAAGCGCCCAGAGCTTGGAATTTGAAGATTGATTCGTTTTTCAAGGAACAAGGGTTTCAGAAGTGTGAGATGGAGTATGGTGTTTATGTTCAGCATACTTCAGAAGGTAATATGATTCTGGTCTGTTTGTATGTTGATGACATATTACTCACAGGAAGTTCTGAACAAGAAACAGTTGAGTTCAAGAAAGTTCCGATGAATGCGTTTGAGATGACAGATCTTGGAAAAATGAGTTTCTTTCTAGGGATGGAATTTATATACTCTGAGAAAGGAATCATCTTACATCAGAAGAAGTATGAACTGGAGCTTCTGAAGAGATTTGAGCTAGCAAATTGCAAGGTTGCTATCACACCTGCTGATACGAATCAGAAGTTGGATTCTGATTCTGATGGAGGGGATGTGGATGCTACAACCTTCAAACAGATGGTTGGTTCTCTGAGGTATTTGTGTAATACCAGACCTGATATTTGCTATGCAGTTGGAATGGTCAGCAGATACATGAACAAACCAAAGTGGTCTCATTACCGAGCTGCTGTCAGGATTCTGAGATATGTAAAAGGAACTCTGAAATATGGAGTGTTATTTCCTTCTGGAGGAAAGATCAAATCAGAACTTCTGAGTTATTCTGATTCTGATTGGTGTGGAGATAGAGTTGACAAAAGAAGTACTTCTGGGTACTTGTTCAAGTTTCTGGGAGGTCCAATTTCTTGGAGTTCTAAGAAACAGCCTGTTGTGGCTTTGTCAACATGTGAAGCTGAATACATTGCAGGTGCTGTAGCTGCTTGTCAAGCAGTTTGGCTTCTGAATCTGCTGCATGATCTGAAGGTTGAAGTTGAGGAACCTCTGAAGCTGATGATTGATAATAAGTCTGCAATTAATCTTGCAAAGAATCCAGTGCTACATGGAAGAAGCAAACACATTGAGACGAAGTATCACTTTCTTAGAAGTCAAGTGCAGAAAGGAGTGTTAGAAGTTCTGCACTGTAGCACTCAGAAGCAGCTAGCAGATGTTCTGACAAAGGCGATAAAAACAGACCAATTTCTTCGCCTGAGAGATGAAATTGGTGTTGTTAATTTCTGATAAGTTACTAAATTACGGGATGGTATTAGAGGGTAATTTAGTATTTGCCATATATATAGGATATTCTCATTGGGCTCTATGTGGCATTCTTATCTTTGTTCATTTTGTGTATAAATAGGTGTACTAGGTTTACATTTATATCAATCAATTCCTTCAATCATTTGTAGCAGCTTTTAGCATTTATTCTTTTTCTCTCTTCTTCCTCAATTTCATCACCTTGCACTAACATTGGTTCTACATAGCTTGAAGATATATAAACCTAAATACGTCTTTTTAATAAATAAGAAATCTAAATATGTCTTTTGTTAGCTGGTTTGGTAGTTGAATGTGTATTTAGTAAATTATTTAGTTTCTGGATGTGTTTGCTGTCAGTTGGAAGATACAGTCCTATCATAGAGATGATTTTGGTTATGGTGGTTTTGGTTGTTTCATTTGGTAGGTTGACAGTGGTTTGAAGGATGAGCTTGTTCTAGGTGATCCTGATGCACCTAGGTTTGTGTTGTGGAATGGGAAATTGAGGCCGGTACCAGGAAAGCCAGCTGATTTGCCTTTCTTTGATTTAATGAGCATTGGTGGCAAGCTCAGGGCTGGATTTGGAGCACTTGGAATTCGCCCTCCTCCTCCAGTGTGTTCTCTTTTGATCCCTTTCTTTGGTTTAATTTTATATGGGTCAAATGAAATATCTCTAACTGGAAGAATAAATAAATGCAAGTGTTCTTGATTGGATTTTCTTATATGATATAATATCGACGAAGGTGACAGGGTTATGAGGAATCTGTTGAAGAATTTGTGCGTCGTAATCTTGGCGATGAGGTTTTTGAACGCTTGATAGAGCCTTTTTGTTCAGGTTAGAGCCACCAATCTTTCTAACTGTCATGTTTTTCACTCTCTCTCTCTCTGTTGTTATTCTTTTCAACTTTCTAACCAACTTCCTACTATTATGTACTGGTAAAGATTTCTGTGTTCTATAAGAGTTTAGGTTATAATATACTGCTCTTGGCCAATAAAATGTAACCCATCATGTTAACTAATTTTTAGCCTACTAGAATAAGAGGTTTGGTAGAGTCTCGTACGAATATTTAAAATCCATCTTCCAAACCCATCACTTGAAAATTTGCATGGATTAAAACTTTGTCCGGGGGTTTGTGCTTCGGTCTTGTTGTATCCCCCCCAAAAAACTGCCTAGGAAAACTTAACAAAAAACTATGGATGTATGTCTATGTTCAAATGGAACTTGAAACACAGGTGGCCACACTTTTTGGGTTTGTTCAGTATCTTTCTGAATATGGAGTAATGATCCTTTAGTCCACCATGTACGACTGAACCAAATGTGTAATTTTCTTGTTTGGGTTTGTTGGGGTCAGGGGAAATGGGACTAGTGTCATGAAAGAACTCCACTATGTTCTAATTGGTTCATCATAACTCATAACATGTTCTGATTTTGGCATTTTAAAATACTTAAACTTGATCTACTACATTATTTTAAGCTGTAGCTTGAGCTATGTGTGATTTTGGGTAATTTTTTCCCAAGTGATATTAGTCTGTTGTGTTTATTTTTTAATTTTTAAATCAAGTCTCTCCTCCATCCCTTTTCATTTGTTTAAAACTGATCATAATTTGTTTTGATTAAATTGTTTTAAACACTACTATTTCACTTGAAATTCACCAATTAAAATATCAAATTTAACTAAAAACATAAAATCTCAAATTTTCTTCTCTTGAAACCCTAATCTTACATTCCACATGATTCTTCAATTTTTTTAGTTGTAAACTTTGGTTATATTTTTCTGTCAAAAATAAAATAAAATAAAACCTTTGTTATATTTCAAAACTCAAATCCATTGTCTATTCCCAAATGTTTTAGTTAAAAACATGACTTTAAAGGATTAATGTGAGAGACAATTGATAGTAAAACATACTCAATTAATTTTTAAAATGGAGGGACTAAAATCACTTGAAGAAAAACTAGAGGGACCAAAGTCGCACATAGCTCAAACTATAGGGTCCAAAATTGTAATCAAGTCTTAATTTGATAAGTGCGTAGTTTTTCTCTCTTCCAATTTTTCATTTTATAATCGATATTGAAGTATATGGACAAGTCAACAATTAGAGAAGCACTTACTTCATGTAGTGACAAGCTTACTTCATCTTGCTTTTCTCTTCAGATATGAATTTTCGATGTCGCCGTTAAGGCATTGGAAATCCTACTTACCTGAATTTTGTCATAAACAGGTGTCTATGCTGGTGATCCTTCAAAGTTAAGTATGAAAGCAGCATTCGGGAAAGTGTGGAGGCTGGAACAAAATGGTGGTAGCATTATTGGTGGCTCCTTCAAAGCAATACAAGAGAGAAATGGAACTTCAAAACCACCCCGTGATCCGTAAAAATACATTTGCTCTGAGCTTTCGGATATTTTGCCATAATTTATGGGTTAGTTCACTGATTCTTATTATGATGTAGGCGTCTTCCAAAACCAAAAGGTCAAACTGTTGGATCATTCCGAAAGGGACTTGCGATGTTGCCAGAAGCAATTTCTGCTAGGTATTCTATGTTGTGTTATACCAATGTTCTAGTTGATTCACCAACATCCGCGTGAGTGATGTTCCTAGTGAATTGTGATCCTGTAACCTGTTGACAGGTTAGGTAACAAGGTGAAGTTATCTTGGAAGCTTTTAAGTATTAGTAAACTGGATGGTGGAGAGTACAGTTTGACATATGAAACCCCAGAAGGAGTCGTTTCCTTGCAGAGCAAGGCTGTTGTCATGACCATTCCATCCCATGTTGCTAGTCCATTGCTGCGTCCCCTGTCTGTAAGTTTCTCTAAGAAGTGGATTATATCAATGGTCTATGCCATGGTTGTTTTATCAGTTGAATACTTGGACTTGGACCATATGTTTTATTGAATTTGTGTAAAAGCATGCACATTTTGATATCTTACTGTAGGTCTTTAGTTTATTTGCTTGTGTGTCTTTTGCCTCTTGGCATGTGTTTGTGTTTTTTTGTGTATGCTCATGCATTTGTGTTTGCTTTTATGCTCATCATCGCATTTATTACTATTTATCATTTTCTGAATTTTATAGAAAAATTATTTTTCTTCCTATGCAACATATGGATAATATTGACTTAACATGCAGACTGAGTTATTGTCTTTCCAAAAACTCACAAATATGGATAATTTTTTGCGTGGTTTCTTTAATTATTAGTAGATTCTCAGGTAGACCATAGCCAGTTTTCAGAATCAAACTAGAACAGGACACAAGTTGGGCGTACATGCTGCACATACATAAGTGTATGGCTGTGTAATATGTGAATGCCTATAAGTCTTACTTAATAAACCTGTATTCTCGTATCAACTACAGCTCCTTGTTTTTGTGCCCGACTGTGAAATTACTGTTCATCGAGAAGTTTAAGAAACAAAATATTTTAGGGTTAACAGAGTGGTATGCTAGTGGTGATATGTAAGGTAAGCCTGCATACAAAGGATCATTAATGCATCCAGCCATTTTGTAGACCCCACATAGCAGAAGCTACATAGCATTAGGTTCGTTGAATATGTATACTTCAAAGCCAGAGTTTCAGGATAAAGACATCACATCCCTTATTCCCTTGTGAGATAGTCTTTTGCATGAGATTAATAACTAAAAAAGCTTGTCAACAAATAAAAGTTTTTTCTGAATGGCCAATTTATGGCATGATATTTGCCAACATATAAAGTGAGGCATTTATGCCTGACTACGTTTTAATGTCTCTTGCAGTCCACTGCTGCAGATGCACTTTCAAAGTTTTATTACCCTCCAGTAGCTGCAGTTTCCATTTCCTATCCAAAAGAAGCCATTAGATCAGAATGCTTGATAGATGGCGAGTTGAAGGGATTTGGTCAATTGCATCCACGAAGCCAAGGAGTGCAAACGTTAGGTAAATATTTGGCACTCTAATTTGCCGCACATTTTTTTAAATTATGGACTGTAGAATGTGCTGTAGTGTTTTGGCAGGTATGGTAACGATAACATATTTGTGGGCTTGACAGGAACTATATATAGCTCATCCCTTTTCCCTAACCGAGCACCACCTGGAAGGGTTCTTCTCTTGAATTACATTGGAGGGGCTACCAATACTGGGATTTTATCAAAGGTGTGACATTTGTATTCAACATGAACATCTAACATAGACTCAATTACTTGAGCTTTTATGGTGTCAAATTAGGCGAAAGTGAACTAGGTTCTTTTCCTTCTTTTCTAGTAAACTTCAAGGATAGTAAAGAACGACTAATAATTTTCATTACTGGGTTATTTGGCTGTTTCAAACAACTCTAGTTCAGTGACCTTGTTTCAAATGTTTACTCCTTCACACTGATAAAAAAAATTAGAATAAGTTTCTTCGAGAATGAGTTATAGGTATCATCTCTTTGATGGTATATGCTTGGATCCATTCTCGTTAGGCTGTTACATATTTTACATATCTGCATTTATTATTTTATTAAAATGAGACGAGTTTCATTTCTCTATCTGTATTATTAGATTTGTTTTCTTTCCATTTTAGTCACTCCTAAAGCCTCTTTTTTAATGGCAGATGGAGAGTGAGCTTGTTGAAGCAGTTGACCGAGATTTGAGAAACATCCTTATAAAGCCAAATGCTCAGGATCCAGTTGTTTTGGGTGTTAGAGTGTGGCCTCAAGCTATTCCACAGTTCTTAGTTGGACATCTTGATCTCCTAGATGTTGCTAAAGCTTCTTTAAACAATACTGGGTTTGAGGGACTGTTCCTTGGGGGCAACTATGTGTCTGGTGTTGCTTTGGGACGGTGTGTTGAGGGAGCTTATGAGATAGCAGCTGAAGTAAATAATTTTATCTCACAAAGAGTGTACAAGTAGCGGCAATATTTTCATGAAATGGGCGGGACCTTTAGTGTTCCATTGAATTGTAGTTTCTGAAATTTTTTTTGTATCAGGTTCTGGGCGGCTTCTTTACAGATAATGTTTCATCTGCTTCACATGCATTTAGCATGGTAGCTATCACTTTGCCACCCGCATTTTGTAGATTTTAACCTGATAATTGTAAATGCAGGCAATGTTTTGAAATAATTGCATATGTTGCATGATTACAAGGTTTTATGTCCTCAAAATACACATATCTTTTTTTGAAAAAGCAAAGTAATATATTAGATGAATCTACACTAAGAACAAGATGTGCAAAGGATAGTTTGATTCCTTTAATATGTCGGGTTATTTTGTAGGATATTGCTATTTTGATGTTTGATATTGTTGGGGAGGAGCTGAGTTTTCTGTTTCAAATTCGCATATATAATTTTAGTAGAACATTTTGTGGCTAAACTCCTGATGATTTTCCCTTTGTTCAAATCATATAAAAATTGATTTCTGGAAATATGGTTGGTGGAAAGTTAGCAAAGAAGAATTTACGCATGGCAACTTTGGGTTAGGTTCTGGCTGTAATTAATAATAGTAATAATAATGTTTCAGAAAAAATAATACTAGTAATAATCTATCCTCTTATTACTATATCTGCTCATCAAATTCACATGTATTAATAAAATTACCTGTAAAATCAAATTTGTTAAAATGTGTTACTTTTCAAAATTTCTATAATTAAGTACTGTACTATTTCCAATTCAACTTGATTAAAATAAATAAATAAATGAAATAGATAGAATAGTGTTTTTTAATAAAAATATTGATTATAGGATACTAAAAATAAAATATATAACTCATTTCGAGTTAATATCATTATTCATTTTGAAAAAGTGGGACTGTGATAAATGTTGTTTTCTGTTCGAGTAAAAAGGAAAAAAAAACCACTACTAACATTAAGAAATAGGAAATTAACTTATGCAACTGATAACTTAAAGAATAATTTTTTTTATACATTAATTCAAAACTAAATTAGAATAATTCTTTTTATACATTAATTCAAAACTAAATTTTGACAACATCTAAAAAGCATGTATTCAACACTCCTTTTTTCGGAGGCGGCATACTATTAGTTTGTTCGATGATATTTTTTGTTGTAATAATTAGGTTTTAAAAAAAAAAACACAAATAATTATGTTTCGGAGAAAATTACGCAAATAATTATGTTTCAGAAAATCTTATAAAAGAGGACTCAACCCAGTTGGCGCATGCACCTAAAAGTAAAGGAGAGGCGCCATCTCACTTGGCGCCTAGGTACTAAAAGTTTGTCCTAAGCCATGTGAGATGGCGCCTAAGTGCAATAGAGGTGCAATTTTTTTCGTTTTTTTATTTTAAATGCGAGACATTAGGTAAAGGATATAGCTTCACGAAAATTCGACTTTTCATTTACAAAAAACCATTACATAATAAAATAAAATAAAACATATAAAATAATTAGTGGTCCTCCGGAACTTGGTAATGACCTGTGGTTCCGCATCCGCGTCCTCGCCTGTCTCAGGGTGGGTTTCATCGCATTTCCTGTTGTGGCAGGGTCGATGGCCCAGCGAAGTCAATGCGTTCAAGATCCATGAAATCAGTCAGATCACCATATCTGGAAGATCTACTTTAGTACAGTCAGTTACCCATGCCCTCAAAGTTTGGTCGTCTTGGTGGTGGGTGGGGTTCCATGGATGGTCTATAGCATTGGTCGTCTGAGTAAGGGGGAAGAAAGAAAATGGATCTTGAGGTGTTTGGTATTGCGACTGTTGGGTGCTATGGTGATGTGGTGGTTGATGGTAAGTTGGATCGGTTGAGTCATATTCTTCAGAAAATCCCAAATCAGGGCTAAGGTTAGATGTTGAGGAGCCCACATTGGGATATGGAGAATACTGGAATTATGTGTGGGGCATGTGAGTGTATTGGTATTGTGATTGAGATTGTGGTTGAGTGTGAGGCATATGGGGGTATTGGTATTGAGGTGGTGATTGTGGTTGGGTGTGGGGCATATGGGTGTATTCATATTGTAGTGGTGATTGTGGTTGGATGGTTGTGGATCTGTGTCGTCAGGGTGGTTGGCAGGAGGTTGATGTGTATTGGGTTTGTTGTTGGGGATTTGAGGATCGTGCCCATTATGTTCGTGGGTCAACCAAATACCTCAGATGAGACACGTGCATTTCTGGGTTACTAACCGATCTGTACCAAGCTAAATATTGATCTGTGTGTTACATATTACTCCGATTGAGGAAAATAGGGATTTGCAAGACATGTTGGTGACGCCTATGCCACATCTTACACCATTATGGAGCAAAATCTTTCCAATTAGTAAGACCCTATTGGGCGTCGACCCTTTTGAGATGCCAGAGGGACAAACAAGTTGGATCGCAGGGTATCTCTTGTTGCATTCCAAACCGCATCTTGACACGGTCGATGTGGTGCATCTCCACAATGTTGAACCGTATGATTGCAGTCTTTGCGGTCCAAACAACTGCATCCTCGGGGTTTGGTTCATGGTCCAAACCCAAATATGGTCTCCAGATAAACTGTGGATAAATTTATTTTTAACATATATTTGGCGAATGGATGAATTATAAATGATTTAAGTTCTTGACTTACTTTGTTGCGTATGGTAAAACGAGTGTGTTGTTGTTGACGGGGTTTAGGGACTCCATTCTCCACCAACCCCAGACTTGGAGTAAGAAAGTACATCCATAAAAAGTACATTTTTTCCTTGGTTGCATTTTTACACAAGGAACTGTATAGATGGGCTAAAACAGCAGAACCCCAATTATACTTTCTAGTTTTTTCAAAGTTCCTAAGTAAATTTAAATACATAAAATTTACACTATTCCCCGTACTTTCGGAAAATGAAAAGGTTCCAAATAATATCATTATATAATTTCTAGCTTTTATTACTCTTGCTAGCTCGGATGAATTTTCGTTCAACTCCAGAGTCGTATAATATTTTTTGAGCTCAGTAAGTAATATACCTTGGCCTCTAGCACCACCGTATTCAATCATATCTTTTCCCAACAATTCCTCGCATAGAGAATTGGGCTGTTGAATCGACCCGTTAACCGCCTTACCATCGACAGGGAGACCCAATAACATGTACACGTCCTCTAGTGTGACGGTACATTCACATATTGGTAGATGAAATGTGTGTGTTTCTCGGGTCTCCACCTTTCCAACATTGCAAGTATAAACTTTGAATCAATCGTGAAGTTGGAGATCTTTATAACATTTCCAAAACCCGCATATTCGAGATAGGGCATGACCGACGGGTCAGGAGCAATGTAGTTGTGTGAGAGAATTCTGAATCTTTTAGTATCCTAAATTCAAAATGTAAAAAGTGTAAGAGTCCATAAGATGTACAAATCATTAATAATATTATACAAAATATATTCGTATACAATAATATTTGAGAATTTATAAAAACTTACAAACGCCACAATATTGTCCCTTGTGCCTCTATGAGAATCGCCCATTGTGAGAAGAGCCATAGTTGAAATTGTATAAGATGATGAAAGAGTTTGTATCAGAGAGTGAGATGATTGTTGATGCAAAACAAGTATATGAGACTCTGTATTTGTAGGCAAAATTGTATCATAGAGTGAATAAATGAGGTGGTTGGTGGTTGCATGCATGCATGATACGTGTCACTCATGCGCCAAGTCAAATGGAGCCTACATGCAATTTAGAGAGCATGCACCATTCAACTTGGCGAAATAGAGGTGGCATAGGTTGTAGTGTAGGTGCAAGCTAGGTGACAGTCTTGAGGAAGACTTTTCTGCATGCATGTAATACGATTAGACATGTAGGGAGGCGCCATTTGACTTGGAGAATGAGTACAAAATTGAAAGGTGTAGCCATCCCAATTGGCGAAATAGAGGTGGCATAGGTTGCAATGTAGATGCAGGCTAGGTGGCAGTCTTGGGGAAGGATTTTCTGCATGCATGTTATACGATTGGACATGTAGAGAGGCGCCATTTGACTTGGTGAATGAGTACAAAATTGAAAGGTGTCGCCATCCCAATTGGCGAAATATAAGTGGCATAGGTTGCAGTGTAGGTGCAGACTAGGTGGTAGTCTTGGGGAAGGCTTTTCTGCATGCATGTTATACGATTGGACATGTAGAGAGGCGCCATTTAACTTGGAAAATGAGTACAAAATTTAAAGGTGTCACCATCTCAATTGGCGAAATAGAGGTGGCATAGGTTACAGTGTAGGTTCAGGCTAGGTGGCAGTCTTGGGGAAGGATTTTCTGCATGCATGTTATACAATTGGACATGTAGGGAGGCGCCATTTGACTTGGCGAATAAGTACAAAATTGAAAGGTGTCGCCATCCCAATTGGAGAAATAGAGGCGACATAGGTTGCAGTGTAGGTGCAGACTAGATGGCAGTCTTGGGGAAGGCTTTTCTGCATGCATGTTATACGATTGGACATGTAAGGAGGCGCCATTTGACTTGGCAAATAAGTACAAATTCAGTGGTTGCTTACTGTTGTGTTGTTCAAATTCAGCGCAACCTATTTAATCCTACATTTATCAAAACACTTCTACACTCAACCATTCAAACACTTGAACATTCAGAAATCCAAACAATCAGGCACTCAAACACTCAAACACTCAAACACTTAAACATTCAAACACTCAAACCTTCAAACCTTCAAACATTTAAACACAATGGCCTATACACCATAATATGTTATCACTGCACATTTCAACGGTGAGACATACATTTGTCCCACCTATGGGTTTTTGTTTAGAGACACTGAGAACATCCGATTTTATTTAAACAGGAAAGCTAATTTCTTATATTTCAAAAAACGATTGGAGGTCAAACATGGACGAGGTCCCGTGACACAAATATTATATCAAAATCTGGTTTTTTTGGTGAGAACCAAATAATATATTATAAGGTTGAGGTTCAAGATGATGAGGACCTTCAACATATGTTTTCCAATCA